AGTAAATCTAAAAATTAAAAAAAAATTTAGAAACTCAAATAAAATTTAAAAACAATTTTTTAAAAAATATCAAAAATCGATTTCCATAATAACCTAGAAAAAGGTCGATCAACTCAGATCTTTTTACAGAATTAAAATATGATCATTTTAAGTATGCGTAATCTTGTCAGGCTTTTAGGTCTAAAACGTGAAATAAATATGCTGCTTCCAATCGCCTTAATACCAAATAGTATTTCTGTATACTTCAGATTCCAAAAAATTTTAAGCTTGTTCCAGTGAAATTTTATAGTTTCATACCCCTCCCAGAATAATTTGTACAAAGTAACAATAATTATGTAATAAGTATAAGCAATACAAATACAAATTAAATTATTAAATAAATTATTTTAGGTACTTTCTAGTTTCTACATCCTTTTTCATAACTTGACACAGTTTTTATCGTTCGAAATTAAATATATCAATTTTTAATATTAATAATATAATATGAAGAAAATAGTGATTATACATATTTTGTGAAAAAAGATTTTGAGAGAGGATTTATTTCAAATTAAGTTATTAATAACAATCATAGATAATAGAAGAATGGATAAACTATGCAACCTTATCACATAGGAATTATATTTTAGCCATTAGAGGTTATAATGAACATATACATACTTAACATTACTTATAAAGGTCCACTTGTGGAAGTGAGAGACTGCTTTTCTCTATTCCTCATTAAAGACAGCATCCTCTTGTATTGTATGCATTAACATGACCTATATATTTTTCTATTATCTATGATAACAAATAGACATAAGGTCATGGATAAATAAATATCAATCATTTTCTTCTTTGATTATTGTGCACTGTTAAAGAAACCTCAGCATACGGTTTCGCTTCTTGTAAGGAACTACACCTGCCTTCCTTACCTACCTAGATGCAAATAGTTTTTTTTAGGAATTCAATTTTCATATTTTTATTTTTATTAACTACCTACCGACCTAAAATATTTTACTTGAAAAAAAATAATTTTGGATGGTATATTGTAGTAATATTATGCCCTTAATAAAATGTTGATAATATATAAAATACTATAATCAGTTAGATTGACGATCTAGAATCGAGGGGCTTTAAACACATTTTTTAACATCAAGGCCTTAATATAACAATCTAAATTTGATACTCGGATACAGTATATCCAAGTTTATGACTCTGGGCCTTACAACAGTTACAACTGTGGACCGCTTGTTAGCCTTTAGAAGCTAGTTATGAGCCGCAGAGGTTTGGTCATGACCGGATCGTCATAGGGACCACCAGAACCTAGTCTGTTCTCGTATCTTTTCGAATCCGGTCACCTTTCACTTTAGGGATCCTTTCCCTCTCCAAGATGATTTATTACTATCTAGCATTGGTCCTACAACCACCATGTTTCAGCCAAGGTAGATTCCTCAACTTTGGGGGTCACCGTTTCCAGAGCGTCGAGCTGATCTGGCGTACAGTAAGGCTTTCCTCTCCCGCGTCACTGACTAGGTTTTAAGTTAACGTCAGTGGATAAACTCGAGGTTTCTGTCCTCTCTCACTATTCTGGTTTCCCAGGTCTTCTGGCCTTATTGGGATTTTCTTCCCTTGTGCGTTGGTCATAACCTCCCGTTTTAGGACCTGGTTGTCCTTATCCGTTTAGTTGCCTTTTATGACAAGTTGGATTACACTGAAGACGTATTCTTATCCACAACGCATGGCATAATACTCGTGTACAATGATATGAGTAGGAAAAATTGAATTATTTGTTTGTTTTTAAATTTAATTTTAAATTTCAGAATTTAATACTTAGAAATTTATTAAATATTGAATTTCTGACATTTTACATCGTTACTCGGGTATATTGAAATAAATGTACACGAAAAAATATTTAGCCCGATGGTTCTGAAAGTGATTGTTTATGACATGTCTGTTTGTGTAGGAACGGGCTGTAATGCATGTTACGTTGAAAAGGTGGAGAACGCCGAACTTTTTGACGGTGACAAAACGAAATCACATGTGATCGTGAACTGTGAGTGGGGTGCGTTTGGAGACGATGGAAAATTAGATGCCATCCGCACGAAATACGATCGAGATATCGACGAGAATTCGTTGAACCCAGGACAACAAAGGTAAGTGTGTTGTTCGATAAGAATGATAAAATAACGTTTTTATCTATTTCGGTTACGGTGTCTGAACTCTGAAGTATAAAACACTTCTCGCTGTGGTGTCTTAGATTCGAAAAGATGATCAGTGGCATGTATATGGGTGAGATTGTGAGATTAACCATCGTGGACTTGGCTAATCAAAACAAACTCTTCAAAGGAAAACTTTCCGATCAAATGAAGACCAAGGGAGCGTTTGGCGCATCATTCGTGTCTGACATTGAAAGGTATACCAATCAGCTATATGTAATATTGTTATAATAATACGATATTTAAAGTGTTTGAATCCATTTTAGTGTTAATTTATGATAAAGTATAATGCATTAAAAAAACAATGCAATGAAAATATATTTTTTCCAGTGGCGTATAATAATATACTTAGTAGACTTACGTCTCATGTTTAAACTTTTACGAATAAATATTGGTTAGAAATATCGAGGAAAACTGACTACACTATGTTTTTTTGTAAATATTAAGACATTTTTCAATAAATGTATTTCAAACATTTTATATACCTCAAATTTTTAATACAAACTAGTTGAAGCAACCTTAAACGGGTGCAATAGTGAAAAAAAATATGGTTTCGTACTTCGCGTAATACGGCTTATTGAAAAGATATACAGTAAAAATACCTACTGTAAATATTTTAAAGGCGCATTTTATTTAAAATCGTAAGATGTCCCATTTTTTGATATTTTTATTAAATAGTTAAATAGCTCAATGATAAAAATCAAGAAAATACACAATTTTATTTAGGTACCTACTATGAAATATTGAATGATTAGAATGTGATCTCAATAATCCAGCTGCTTACGATTATGACCCTAAAAAAAGTTAAGTGTGACATAAGTAGCCAGAACAATATATAGTTGTAACGATTACGGGTGGGAGGGGGCTATGGATGATCGGTCCCTCTAAATTATTTACTGATTCACGTTGTCTGAAAGTATTAAGTGCTTAAGGCAGTAGACCTATCATACTCTCTCGTTATGACTTATGGTTCTATACGTTTACGTAATATTATATTGGTATACCTAACTATAATACTATATAGCACTAATTTTAGTTTTTATATTTCAGTGATACTGGTAACTATAAAAACACGTTGAAAGTTTTGAGTGAGATGGGCATTAATAATCCATCGTTGGTCGATTGTGCCAACGTACGGTACATTTGCGAATGTGTGTCCAGTCGGTCAGCGCATCTGGTATCTGTCGGGTTAGCTGTGCTTCTCAACAAAATGGACGAAAAATCCGTCACGATTGGCGTTGACGGCTCGGTATATCGCTTTCATCCGTATTTCCACAAACTCATAATGGAAAAGACCAGGCAACTGGTGAAACCCGACATCAATGTGAGTAAATATAGGCACAATGTTGTACCTACTTCAGTGTTCTCGTAATTGATTATCGGCCTTATAATCCATCATAAGCAAATATTTGATCATAAACGTGAGAGGGTTTGCCATTTTAACCAATATACAAAATTATTTATGCTTTAAACTTCGACCTACTGCTTAGGTGCCTTTTTACTAGTAATTATTTGTGATGTAGCAATTTTTCTAGCAGACAACATTTATAATAGTCCCAGGCCCCTAGGACATAGTTATAGATTAATAGCTATAACTTATGATTTATAAATAGAGCACGAATGTTGTTATAGGTAGTAAAAAAAATGTGAAATTCATTGTGGTACCCAGAGGAAGAGTGGGACCTAATTTACGTACAGAGAATTTTAACAACATAAAAATAAATAAGTACTATAATATACATGACTGATTATTAATAGCTGTTGTAATTAATGTTATGTTCTTATTTTTTTTTTTTTGGATTTTGTTGCAGTATGAACAGTATTATTAAAATTATTAAATAATCTTAAAAAAAAAAAAAAAAATAAAATTTTTATTCTTTGTTTAATATCTAATTTCATCCTCATTTTAATATGAAATATTTATCATAAAATGTTTTAAAAAATACTTTCGAATTTGACCACTCAAAAGTATAAAAAATATTTGTATCCGCTATCAATTTTCTAGCAAAAAACATTTTCAAAGTTATGAATATAATCATTTTTCAACTAATGATTATGATAATAGAAAATAAACCAAACTGATTTTTACATTTTTCAGTTTGATTTGATGTTGTCCGAAGACGGAAGTGGTCGTGGAGCCGCTCTTGTTGCAGCTGTAGCTTTTCGAGATGAATTACCATCTATGACAAATGGAGTGGCAAAGCATTAATGATGCCATTATAAAAATTGATTACAAAAATTATGTTGTTTTATTACATATTTTAAACAATTTTATTAGTTTTTAAGGAATAGTGGTACGTCTTATGAATGACGGAAGTATGTAAGTTATGGGTACAAATAAGTAATTTAACAATTTGCAACCTTACTAAATTGTATGTTTGTTATTGTTAAGTTTGGAAATTGTATAAGATAATAATAGTGTTTTTCGCTTTCAATACATTTTACTAATGAAGGACCAAACAAATTTTGTTATTTTATAAATTTTCAATTTTTGTTACATTAAATTATGACCATAAACAATCCAGTTATTAATATTATGACGTTATCAGAATTCTTAACTACACTTAATTAAACTATTACTGTAGGATTTTTGACTGTTTTTTTTAAAAAGGTCTAATCTCTGGTTTGAAATTGAAAACTATTATTATGACCACAATAAAAAAACTTAAATCTATAGACTTAATACCAAAAGAAATAAATTGTGATCAGGGCACAAATAATCAAAAATTGAGAAATATATTAAAATAACAATTGATGAACCGTTATTGACATTTGAAGATGGAAAAATATAGTTAATGTATAAGATGCCTCACTTAATCAAATCATATTTTTTTAAATTTTATAACATTGATAAAAATAAAATTCCACGGTTAGCACCTTAAAGATCAGCATATTCAATTACCAAACACCAATGAGAGTGTGCCTAGCTACTCAAACTTTCAGTCATACTGTAAGTTCAGCTATGTTTACACTAATAACAAACAATTTAATAAACTCAAAAGCTTTACATACTGCAAAATTTGTGAAGATAATAGATGACTTGTTGATGTGTTCAATAGTTGTTCATTCAACAAACCAAACATATTTCAAAAACCATTGACTAACAATTCGAAGCATTGGATCTTTTTAAATTCTATACAAATTTAAAATTCAAAAAGCCAAAAAAAAAACAACAGCATCTGTTTATAAGTGGCTGGCTTTCAAATATTAAAAGTTTGAAAATTCTGTTTTATTCTCTTTGATTTTTTTTTTAGAGTTTAACTGGTACATAAGTATAATTGTGGGCATAACAAAGGGGGAAGCCGCTAATTTTATACTTTGCCCCGGGTAAAAAATATACTAGATCYGGCACTGAGTATAAGTACTAATAACTCAGTCAAACTAGTAAAATACCAAATTTGTGCAGTGGTGGGTGATGAATTGAATATTTTAAGCTAGATATTTTTCCTGTATTGACAATAAAACTACCTACATAGTATAAATTAATAAAATTATTTTACATAAAATAAACTAGAAAAATATTCAACTGTATAAGAAACCATAGTGAAATATGATAGTTAATTTATTACATTTAGAAGCATTCATTCAACCATTTAAGCATAATAAAAATAAAACCATACACCACAATTTAACAATATTAAATTATGTTAAATAAGTTTAAAAAAAAATAAGAGTATAAATAAGCAGTAGTGTTGAAATAAAAGCATAAAATAAAAACCACTACAGAAATGTACCATCTTAAATTCTCATTTAAAACTTTACTCTTTAAGCAGGGTTTACACGACACGTGAGCCACGATCATAGATTACGAAAGCGTAGCTTACGGTTTGTGTAAACAATCTGTTTGTATTTTACGATAGTGGAATTCACGAACCTGTCACAAATGGTTTGTACAATAAACAATTTTGGATATTTTAGTCGTGAAAGCTCAGTCGTAGTGTATACTGTACAATATAATGCATATTTKTTTGTTTGTAAAATATTAGTTGTAATATATATTCATATTATTATATATAGGTAAATAATTATAGATTTTTAAATTAAATTATTATACTAAATTTTAAATTGTAAAAGTACAAAAGGTTGCTAACAATATGAGTGTAAATAAGAATGTTCTAAAACTGAACGATGAACAAATAATGAATTTCATAGATTATTACAAAAAGGAAAAAGTTTTATGGAACACAAAGTCACAGGCATATAGAAATAGAGATGCTAGAGGCGAAGCTTTGAAAAGAATAGTATCAGCCATGAATATTGAAGGTTTGTTATTTTTCATTGGTTATATTTAGTTTTTAAATACTTTGCACATTGAACCCATTTTTAGCTACCTATACTATTATAACCAGTAATATTATATATTTATTTATTTCATATATCTATTTCCACTGATGAAAACAACTACTTACTTATTTTTTAAGGTTTTGGACCTGATCATGTGATAAGTAAATTAAAAAATTTAAAGAGTTCATATTGCTAAGAACTGAAAAAAATTGCGACTAGTGAAAAATCAGGAACATCTGTAGGATACATTTACGTACCACATGCAATTTGGTGTAGTAAAATTAATTAATTTTTAAAACCATATGTGACTATGGGAGATACATGCTCAAATTATGTAAGCATATTTAAATTTATATTTAAATAATTAATTTCAAAATATAAAAGTGTTATAAATTTATTTAATTAATTTCCACTGCCATGGAACAGCTTCTTCTCCGTTGAAATATGCACAATAATAATCTCTAATTTTCTTAGCATCTGTGCAGGCATTTCTGTTATTTGTTGGCACAAGATCCGTCAAGCAACTTTCTTTTTGTCTCCATGTTCCATTTGTGATTTTGCTATGTACTGACGTYCCGCTGAGACACCTAAATACGCATATACACGTAAGTGTCTCTGGGGCGTATGATTTCGCCAACCACTAATATTGTGTAGGACCTCAATAGCTGTATCGAAGGGCAAACTCCTAGCCTTTCCAAAATATCACCATAGTTGGAATTAATTATACAAAATATTACATATGAAATCGTAGTATTGACAGGCGTATCAAGAGATATGATTCATGTCGTCAGGTTATTGAGATTACGTATCGCGAATAACCAGGATGTGGACCGACCAGTTGCACGGGCGTRGGAAGCTGCGATATTAGAATAATACACGCGTACGCTTTTGCACGACTCAACCATGGACACATACTTATATTATCGATAAGAGAGGAAACGCAGAGAGTAGGACTATACGGACTATATAGGAGAGCCCCGATTAGACCCAATTCAGACGTGAGCCGCCAGAGTCAGTGCAAGCACCTTCACGCCAGACACCAGTCCAATTTAATTATTCGGACTCGGAATATTTTTCAACTAAATCATTTGTGCAATAAAAAGTGTTTTATTTACATAGTAATCAAATAAATAACTAATCATAAATCAAGTTGTTATACTTATTACACTCAATCCATCTACCTCAACACCAGTCGTTTGTCCTCCTGTATGCTGGGACACTACAATTTCATAGTTATAATCTTCATGAACAATAAGACTCGGTAGTAAATAGGCTTTTCGTAACCAGTTATGTAAAGCACAACACGCGAGAACAATTTTATCTACCTTATCAGGATCAAGGGGATTGGTTTTTTCCAAATTCTGAATTTACTCACAAGAATTCCAAAASCATTTTCTGATATTCGTCTCGCTCTAGACAATCTGTAATTGAAAATATTGTTTGTTCTCTTATTAAGTTTCTTCTGTTATATTGTTTCATTAGATATGTCTTGAGCGGGAAAGCATCATTAGCTACAATAACAGCATTTTTGGGGGTATTAAGTGTACCTATTGTTTTCCAATGCTTCAAAAAAAAGAGCTTTCTCGAAATACACCACCATCTGATGCCTTTCCATTTGCACCAACATTACATTTGTTTATATTCTAATTAAAGTATTTATGCAAAAAGTTTGAAATAAAGTATTTAAAATTCTTAATTAAAAAAAAAAACAGGTATATATTTAAATATTTTTTTAACTTAGGTACTTCAATAAATTCTGCAAGAGCATTATATATTTCAGTACAAACTTCAGGTAGAAATAAACTAATGGTACTTTTAGGAACTCTAAAAAAAAAATTCTAAGCTTTTAAACGAATCACCCGTAGCTAAGTATCGAAGTGTCATTTTGAGTTTAGTATAGCTTCCCTCATTGTTGTATTCAATTTTTGTATCTTAAATTGAATTTTATTTAATAAAAAAATCAAAGTGTGTATCTGACATTCTTAAAATGCCTTTGAAATCTTCCAGGTTTTCATTTCGTAATTCATGGGAAATAAACGCAGAACCACCATTATTATTCTGTCTTTGAATCCACTGCCTTACCCACCATCTTCTTTTTAACTTCAATTTGTCAATTTCTGTTAATCGTTGTTTTAATTGTTTAGTCAATTGTCAATACATCGGACAAAACAGCACATGCTTCGGCTACTAACGATTCCATCTTACTGAATGAAAATTGCGTTCACGGGTAAACACCACTACGATTCGTATGATGCTTTTTGAAACCACGCTCTTGAGTCACAACTCACAGCTCTCAAGATAGTGTATTACGATCGTGGCTCACGTCTCGTGTAAACCTACCTTTAGTAACATAAAACAAAACGTTAAGAGGACGCTACACCCTCATGTGTTGTCTCCGTCTTACAAGCACGTAACATTGCAAAAACTGTTTCGTGCGGGAAAGAACCGAGAATGCTACAGTCATAACTAAGAAACAAAATTCTCACCACAGATAAAAGGGAATTTCGACTGTGCAACGTTGTTTTTATTTTTTTGATATTAGAACTGAAAAAAAAGTTATTCGATTTTGAAAAACGCAAAAATAATGAATTTTGAAACATTAAGAACTTTTTTTCTATTTGTGATATCGAAAAATTGAAAACAACGTTGCATACTAAATGTTCTCCTTATTATTTGGTGAAAATTTCGTTTCTTAGTTATAATAATTGTAGCCTTCTCGGTTCTTTCCCGCGCGAAACAGTTTTTGCAATGTTACGCACTTGTAAGACGGAGACAACACATGCGGGTGTAGCGTCCTCTTAAAGTCGTTGAATTATGAATCATAGGTGTGTTGTGTGTACTGTGTGATAAAAAAAGATAGCAGCACCATTCTTAATGGTCGTCTTTTTCACGCTATCTCGGTTATCTTTACATATTTGGTCTTATCTCTTATGAGCCTATGGCTGGCGAGGGGCGAGCATTCCAGTTATCATAATATAGTAATTTCAATGGGTATATATCATAGATAATAAAGATATATATATTATAATAAAATATTATCTTTATTGTCTATGGTATATATTACCACAGAACAATATTACTATATTAGAATATATATAATTATATATTATAATATATATTATAATACAATATTATCTTTATTGTCTATGGTATATATTACCACAGAACAATATTACTATATTAGACACCACGGACTAAACTGAGTAAACAGAGAATATTTATACTCTTTGRTAATAGTATCCATAAACGTTGGTTACGTATTTACGTGATAACAGTGGAGGTACATTTTTGTCATTTATTACTTTGTTTATTATTATTATTATTAAATCCATGACCGTCAACTGACGTGGTGTAGGTTAACCTCATTTACCATAATTTACATCTATGGCTAAGACCGCATTAGAATTTTGTAAAAATTCATCATTAATACGAATAACAATAATTTTATAAATGTAATCTAATCTTTGGCAAATTAAAGAAATTTAACCCGGTGAAAATAATTATGAACTAAATGGAATATTCATTCTACGGGAACATTCAATATTGAGGAAATCTGAATCCTTGCATTTTATTGTAAGTTGGAATAGTTTTAATTGGTGTTTGTACTTACCTATTATTATGTATAGTGTGTTTTGTGTGTAATGAAAAGGCATACTCAGACTGTTCGTTATTGTAATTAGTACTTCTTATAGCCAGCCCCATAGGAATTGGACTCGGGGAATACATCTAAGTTCTTACAGTTAATATTTTTTTTGTTTTTGATTTCTAAATAGGTAATGGGCARTARGACAATTAGGGCTAAAATTTTGGCGACCGTAGTCTCCATCTTGTTTTGCATGAAAAGTAACCTTCCATATATGTATAGGTATTTAATTAAAAAATATAAAATAATATACTAATAAAAAAATCATGTTCATTTAGGTATTTAAGTTTTATTTTTCACAGTAATAATATACTGTCTGTAACCTTCTAGTTCAGTATACAGTAGAATCCACTTAATTGGGACATCATATAAAAGGGACAATCGCTTTATAGGGAAAAATAGGCAGGGTCCCAAAGGAATGTATTCATGTTAGGCAATTTAACTTCTTTTATTGGAGATAAACCATCAGTTATAAAGGACATGGTTTAATATGTTCTGTTTTATTATTAAAACTATATTACAGAAACTATAGTTATCAAATTGTAATGTCTCTATTTTATGTCATACAATATGTTATAACTTGTAATATCATATGTTTACAGATATTATGTATTTTATTTTCATCAACAATTTTTATTCCACTACCACGTACATATTCCATGTAGATAAGAGTTGTTTTCAAAATAATAATGTTTATAATAAGTATATAAATTATAAATAGTAGGCAGCATGATATTATTTTATTTTTTTGTTTTTTAATTAAATTGCATTTTTCTCTTAACTACAACAGAGATACAAACTACTTAAATTACTTAACCCCGTAATTAAAGGATAAATTAAGAGAACACCATAACTGCATKTGTTGTCTTCATTTTGCAAACGTACAACATTGTAAATTGATTGTAGGTACCTTAATAATTGTACCTAACCCATTTTAATGCTATTTAAATTATAGTGAATTGACCATAAATAAAATTGAATTGTAAGATTGTTGTTATTATAGAGGATCCCTGAGGATTTTATAGATTTTATTTTTAAATACATTTTGATCATTTTAAAATATTATATAAACAATATACATTTTTAATATCTTCATAACTTGTTTCTTAGTAAAAATATTATTAAAAGCCTCGGAGATACTCGAGGAGATACTTAGATAATAATTTTGCTTTTAATTTTTATGACAGGTCAATTTACTTTTATTTTATAAACTGCAGAGTAAAATGTATCATTGTAAACGTAAAATTAACTGTGTTATAATTATAATTGTTAGATGAATACAGAATACAACAAACTCACGGGTGATGCTCTTAAGAGTACGTAGCAGTGGTATTTGTTGTCTCCGTCTTACCAGTTAGTAATATAGCAAATTTACGCTCAGTAGAACACTTGTAGCTCCTTTAGTTTAAAAATTACAGTGTATCGACTATATCGGCCTATAATGTTCTGTTATCCGTTATCYGTTTTCAATTGTTTATCGTTTACTGATATGTTAACTGTTACCCTTGTCAATCGTTTTCCGATATGTTATTCGTTATTGATTTCAATTGTTTTGTTGAATCGTTTAACGTTATAAAAACGTTTTGAAGCCCTAAGCCTACAAGTGTTCTGCTGAGCGTAAATTTGCTATATTATGCACTGGTAAGACGGAGACAACAAATACCACTGTTATGTACTCTTAAGTTGGATATGTTCCCTGCTTCTCCATAAACAAATTCTACGGTCTTTAGTTATCTTTGCTGCTGTCATTTGTGGTAATTACCCAAAATATATAAATTAAATTCAAATTTTCCACAGTCCAAAATATTACAAACAATTTCTAACGAGCCTTGGTTTGTCAGAAACAATATGCTTTACAGTCCAGGCCCTATTTTTATGTGCACCACAACACACAATGCGCACCACAAATGTATAAGTGTGTGCTACAATTTTAACGTATGTGCACTAAGGTCTACAAACCAAAAATTAAATTAAATACCAGCTACTAGGAAATATAAGTATTTCCTGAATTTGTGTTTTTTTATTTAATTTCATAATTAAATTGTTATTTAAATAAATAATATGTTAAACGTTGCTTTTTCTAAGACAGTAGTAAGAATAACATTTCCGTTTAAAGYAATAAAATTAAATGTGCAGTTTGACATTTTACAGATATTAGGGTCTGCTTTACAAAGACTTGTTTAATGAAATTTTAAAATTAATGTTTACCTAATAGAAATTAGAAGATATTAATTAAATGCATTTTTTTTAACATAGCCTGGCTAACAATGGGTTGAGAACTTAAGAATATTAAGTTAAAAATTAATAATTAATATATAATTATTTTTCAATTTCTATTTTTTTGAATTTTAAGGTTTTCTATCAACATTTTTGAAATGATAAAATACACCTTCCATCTCTTAGTAGATAGTAGATACCTAAAATTAAAAGTATTTTACCATTGAGTAGGTACTTTTGTATGATAATTATATATATATTATCATGGATATGAATCATATTTACTAGTAGAATAACAACATTATATCTATTTTCTTCTATGATATTGACTGTATACATTTTACATTTTTTAGAAAGTAATAAATAGTTTTATAATTTTAACAGGTATCATTAAATATTAGGATAGAAGTGCCTTTTTGTTTAATTTTTACTAAGAATTCCTGAGTTAAGTGAGTAAAAAATTTAATTATAAATAAAAAAAAAAATTTAATTTATGAGTAAATGTTTTTCTTTTTAGCTCTAAAATAATGAATTCAGATAATGCTAACAATGATAAAAATGACATTTGGTCGACAGAAAAATGTATATTTTGTAAAGGAAATATAAAGGAAAATTCAAAAATCCTAAATTGTCTTCATATTATTTGTAAAGATTGTACTCAGAAAAAAAATACTGATATAGGTAAAATTAAATTAATGTTTTATTTTTATTTTTTTGTTTTATCAGATATTATAAAAATTTGAAAATTAATTAGATCTTAAAATGTTATAAAAATTTAGGTTTATGTTGTAAATGTAATATAGTAACTAAGGGTGAACCCACTGATTACTTGATTGTATCACCAAATGAACTACATGTAAAGATATGTTGTGAACAAAATTGCCAAGACATAGGAAAGAAAATATGCATGTATTGCAAAAGCGTGTTTTGCAAACAATGTTCTAAGGTAACTTAAAATTTCTTCTACATGTTTCTTTAGCTTAAAATATATGTACATATTTATTTATGTTTATTAATAGATACATTTGATAAACAATGAAGATCATTACCCTACCCTAATGATGACTTACCCATTAAAAAAAGAATTTATTTCTTGCCCAGAGTGTAAAGAAGTAAGTAATAAGTATAAAAAACAAATTAAAAAGATGTTGAATTATTAAATTGATTAACAAAATAAGATTTGAGATTGAAATTTAAAAAAAAGTAATTTTAATATATTTATGAACTATTTTACAAATTTTACTATTTTATTTAGTCTATTTAAAGGCAAATATTTGTACATGATATAGTAGMATAACTTTTTGTTTTAGAAATGTGTGGATGTATTTTGTACAAGATGCTCAAAAATGATTTGTTCTCTTTGTCATTTAAATTTCCATCAGAAACATAATTTTAAACTTATTTCCACAATGGCCGACGAAACCAGACAAGAATTTCAATCGTCAGTATTTGATTTAAGGTATTGTAAAAAGAATTATTATAAAAAAATATTTAATATATTAAGTACTTTTAAAAACTCTTTTGTTGATGTGAATACACTATTAAGTTCCATTATTCATAATATAAAATATGCTGGCTCAGCTTGGCGATGCTTATTTTAGTAATAATTATACCCATTTTAAATTATTATTATTATTTCTAGTGATTACCAAAGTACATTTATTAGGTTTTGTGTTAAATTTTGATCTTTGTCACATGAATTCAAAACTAAAAATTCAATAATATTTTTTTTTTTTAGTTTTAAATAGTGTCCAATGCATCTAAATGTGTCATTTAGAGATATTAAAAAAATAATAATTTTAGTRAATAAAAATTTAACAGTATGTGGCTAATAGTTTTTGTCAGTTATAAAATCTTTAATTTTTTTATTTTGCAGTGAAACTAATGATACATTAAAATTTATGATACGATTGGCAGATGAAAATATCAAGAAATTTATATTTGATAAGAATAACATTTCTGATCAAATTGATAAATCAATCAATATGTAAGTTACAAACTATATAATTAAATAACTCGCAACTATTTTAATTATTATTTCATTACAGGATGCACAAATTAATTGATAAACGTTCATTTGAACTAAAAAAAATACTTGAAATAAATTTTATAGATGCTGTTAAGAGTATTAATACAAATAAAAATGTTCTTAATGATTTTATAAAAGAAAATCAATATTATCATAATGTAACAAGCTCTGTTATCAATCATAATCAAACATTTGAATACATTCGACTGTCAAAGTATGTTAAATTTAAGTTAGATATATGATTAAAGCACATGTAAATGCATAAAATTAATCTATTTTAGAATTATCAATGATCAAATAACCATTGCTACGAGCCATATTTCAGACATGCCTAAAGAAATAATAGATTTTAAACCTAAATTTGAGTTCAATTATGAACAATCTATGAAAAAAATTGTAGAATGTAAGTCAGAAGCTATCGCAGTTAGTTATATTAGCTATAATAATAAATTAATATAATTTTTTTTAGTAATTCAAGGAATGGGAAATATTATTTCACCGAAAATTATTGATTTATTAGAATATAAAAATAGAGTCGACATAAATAAAAYTCTCAGAGCTCAAGAAAATGATGTAAGAATTTAAAATATTACAAAACTTTTTTTTGTTGATAATTTCACTTTCTATTACTAATTATTAATCTGATACTTTTCTCTGTTATTTTAATTTTGAGTTTATTATTGACTCATTAGATTCAAACTTCAAAGTTTTTTTTTGTATAACATTTTATTTGATTGACAATTTTGTTCTATTATTTTATTTAACAAACATGAATTAGCATGGTAATGATATTAAACTGCAGCTATCAGGTTTATAATTAATTTCTTATTGGCTTATAATAAAAAGTTCATTGTTTTATTTTATTAAATTATTTGTAGCCATCTTCCAATTTAAGATCCTCAGAACCTGTGATTGTACAATCTAACATAGATATTGAAATGATGGATAAAGGTAATATACCTATTATTTAAAATTTAAATAATAATAATGTTGATGCTTTAGTTTAATGTAATGATAAAAATTTTTTAAATTATATGTTAAAGATTCTGACAGTTCAGACTATGAACCACTTGTTAGTTGTTCTTGTTGTAATCAATGGGCTGAAGAATTGATAAGTTGTATTTGTTGTGAAAGGTTTTATCATAATGATTGTCATATTCCTCCACTAGCAAAGGACCTTAAACCTAATGAGTAGTTATTTTTTAAATATTTATTTATGATAATTATATCTATGGTACTTAATTTTTTACAGTTTATCAACAACACATTGGACTTGTACACTTTGCCAKGATATTTCAATACATATCAATAACTTACGTGAAAAGAATTTTACAGACCATATTATTCCTATTGGTCCTTCTGAACGAAAAGTCATTGAACGTATATTAATGGAGTTGTATTGTCAAAATGAGGATAGTGAACACTATCGAGATTGTTTGGATAGAGAGAGAGTAAGATATATATAATATATAAAAATGTATAAGATACAGTTTTATTATAAGATTAAATGTGTTTTTTAGTATCCACTGTATTATGAAAAAATTGCTGATCCTATATCATTGAATGATATCAAACAACGTTTAGAATCTGATGGATCATATACATCACTCATTGATTTTATCAAAGATATCAAAAAAGTTTTGATGAATGGAAAGTTATATTATGCTGTTAGTATTATTGATATTCAATATTAAATGTTATCTATTATTCTATTTAAGTGTGGTAGGTACAGCAAAAAATATATTTCAACTTCTCTCAATACATTATTTTTGTTGTACTCGGGTTTTATTTTAAATAACTTTATTTAATTAACGATAAATGTATCTATCCCCTATTGTATATAAAAATATTATATACACAGTTGAACTTGGGTAACACAATCTTTTACTCTAAATTGTAAATACCTCAGACTTTTTCCCTGGTGTCCCTAGAATTTCCTATTTAAACAATGCGAAAAATTGTGTTTAACTTAAATATTTTCATGAATACTTGGAAGTTCCAAATTKTATTAATATGTATGTAAMATAAAATTATGATATTTCTCTATGCTATATTTATCATCGAAAATAAGATCATTTGTGTTATCATATATTCTCTTGTTTGGGACAGTYGTGTTGTGTACCGAGTACTAATTAAAACATATATTTTACTAGATGCATTTTAACTTTATTAAATAATAATAAATAGTCTACATTTTAAATATAACTTCAACATGATGTGCGTGAGTGTGGTTAATACATGAGCCGAACGTTAAACATAATTGAATAATATCATAACCTTAAATACACTATTATCATGGAATAATAACATACATACATAACAGTATGTATGGCCATGTAGAGTATAGATGGGTTGTTGTAGTGCATATAATTTTGTACTTATTATTGATGCTTACCACATCATACTCCTGCCCCAAACCTAATACGCGTAAACCTCCTATGGTGTGGATACCCCAGCCACCATCCGACCCCCAAGTGAACGATGTTGGTAAGAGTGGCGGTGTATGGTTGTGTAGAGCAGCGGTTCCCAATTAGTGTGAAGCCACGGACCCCTAGCTRTAACTTAAATTGRTCCGCGGACCCCTTTCTTGTAAATACTTACTTTTCAATTTTATTTTATYATGAAAATGAGAAATAAATTTATACGATTTATTTTCAATATGATTTAATTTTTAATTTTATACAAARTTAATAATTTCACTAAAATAAAATAAAAATATCACTACTGAACAACATAACCGCGGACCCCCTAAAACCAACATGCGGACCCTTGGGGGTCCGCGGACCACCAATTGGGAACCGCTGATGTAGAGAACACGGGCGTTTGGGCCATATCAATTTAAAGGAGGTCAAATTACAATTAGTAATTAGTATTTATTTAAATTTACTGTATTATAATAATATAAATATATTAATTTCATTACAAAAAATAATATTTCCTTATTTAGCTTAGAAATTAAGTAACATATTTTATCCTTATTTTCATTTTGTCAAATAGCAAATAAAAATATA